TTTTGGGGTAATTTCAATAGAAATATGAGGCATATTAAAAACAAGCTTGTCTCAATGTTTTCTACGAGCTTTTTCTGGGGTAGTGCCGAATAACATGATAGAAACGACATTTTGCTGTACTCTTCATTTTTCAAAAATGCAAAAATATATTTTTGGAACGTCACTCTCAACCTTAATTTTTACATCAAGGTCCAACAAATTGAGAAAACGTGAAAAAAAGTGGTTGTTGATCAAATACTTCAGCATACTTCATGTTTCATTAGTATGTATGAAAGTAAAAACCTCGTGTGAACTGTTGCAAATATTACTTTGCACAAAATGTTCTTCAGAGTTGGCTAATTTTAAAAAAACAGTTCATTACTGAGTGCGACGTTGATAGATGTTTATGCGAAAGAAACTGTATGCTAAAGAAACTGATAATATTTGTTATTCAGGAAAAGAATGTTGTCCAAAAAAAATAAATACATATGCTCCAAAGAGAATTAAAAGACGCATATGCATAAAAAGGCCAGTGTTAATTTTACACAACTATTAGTACATCACGTAACATTAACATGTTTACAAATGGTACTATCGAGCGAGTCTGTCTCCTGAGACGGGTTGTGACAGGTGAGCCCAAGTACGTGGACACTAATGCCGTGAATATAAAACCCGCGTAACGCATGAATGTTTTAAAATGTGTTTATGGTGTGGGGGACATTCCGAGTCTCTCATGTTTAAACACACACACTCAAATTCTTCCATAATCTCTAGGCCTGATAGGCAGCTGTGGGTTTAGTGTGTGTGTGAAATTGAGTAACAGGATCCCATCCCCCAGAACAATGGCACAGGCTCCGAGATGAGGCCAGGGGTGTAGGGAGATTACTGTAAGGAGGAACCGCTTTGACATCTATTTCTTGGCCACTGCTGGTAACGTTCGTGCGCTAATTTTGTCAGAGCGTTTGTTTCAGGTTAGTTTCTTTTGTAAATGGCTTCATCACCCATTGTTTCCCAACCGGTCAAGGCAGTCCCTTCTTAGAGTAACGCCTCTATACCATGAGTAAATGTGTATAGGTAGAGGAGCGAGAGATGTCCAAGCGATGTTCGGAGACCATGAAGGTCCTCCTCACTGAGGTTTTCCCAGAGGAAGGGCAGGTACCGCGACAGGCGTAAGTCTTGAGCGCTGAAGAAAAGGGAGGGGCAACACCGAAAAGCCCGACTTATCTTAAAACGAGAGCGACGGACGATATGTACACTTTCTAGGGTCCTAATCAATTAATAAATGTATATTAATTTACAATCAAATCCACCTTCAAATAAATTATTCAAAATATTATCCATATATTTTTATTGTACTTCATTTCTACTTAATTATTAGCCAAACTAGACTCAAAAAAATTAGAAAACTAGCTGGTATGAGAAAGTTTCTGTCATTCTGTAGCTAGTACTCGTACTAGTTTTGTAATGATCTCTGCTCTTCAAAATTAGACCTTTAATTGATGTCCTGTAGATTTAAAAAAAGAAATATGAGTAGTATTCGAAGTAGAACCTTTGTATCCGATGAGCATAGCAGCATTCGATGAAAGGTAAAATGTGGTTGTTTGACTGATAGTCATCTACTCAAAAACAATTTATTGTAGTAACAACAAATTGAAAACCATTAACAAACTTGTTTATATTAAAACGAAATGCAGATTATAAAAAAACAAGATCTGAAGCCAATATTAGCGAGTCTTACAACGAATCCAAAACTCTTATTGCATAAACCACAAATTTTATTTTCAACTTAGTTCTGTAGCACTCTTTGGGACATGCTCCGTAATATGAAAACGTTCATAATAACCTTGGCATGCAAGCAGTTGCTAAAGAGATTCACAAATCTGCCAGGAAACAAAAATAACAACAGCACCAACATGTTAGAAACAAAGAAAACCAGTCAGTAACGTTGTTTACAGAGGTGATTGATGAGTACCGTGTAACATTTGAAGAGAATCCAACTAAACTGCGAGTTTAGGTAATGATATTTAATTTATTATGGAGGAAAGGGACCCAAACTAAATAGTCGTTTTACAAATATCAACAGTACAAACAAATAGAAAGGTGCAGTTGCGTTACAAAACAATTCGTTTAACTTCACTTCACTTTAGTTTAGTCGCTCGGCTTAACAACGCTTTTTTTTTTAATACTTTATTTCAACATGAAAGTATGGAAAGTCTAGTCTGCCTTGGTAGCGGTAACACGAAAATTGATTCTATAATTTGCAAAACTCCAACGCATTTGTAGGTCAAAATACGTTTACGAACACGTTGACTTCCTGCGCGCGCAGTTCCAAGTCAACGGCGCATCGCTGCGCAGGACAGACCCTCGGCCTCCGCGATTTAGTACACATCAACCCCCCAGTCTGCCAGCGCAAAATTACTAACGCAATTTTAACTATAAAAACAAACATACTCTCTACCCATCCCGCAGGGTGTTCAAATGAGGTGAACAAACTAAAATAATTTACCAAACATTTCTTTACAATAACCTCACCGAAATGTCACTATCGAGAAATGCGTGATGAATTTCATTTGATACTAAAAACAGAGGGAGTTTCAATTCATGATTACTGCCAAATTCTCTCCGTTATTCAAAGGACATACTAAATTATCGATATTATGAATACGAATATCAATAATGAACAGAAATGTGCATGAGAAATTTATGGTAGAAATACAAAAGGGAAAAGAGGAGAAGGGCATCACTCACTGTATAGGCTTCCCATAAACCTGGTCTTAAATTACATGGAAGAAATGGATAATGTACAAAGGAAATTAAGCAACAAGCTGAAAAGTATTTACTATTGTTTGGATTACAAGTATGCCCTAAAACAATAGCAACTGAAACCATAACTCTATCAGAGACTTCTTTTAAAAATTATATTATAACAATATGGAATACAAATATGTGAAACATCTTCAATGGTTCACACACAAAAAACATAGAAACAAAACATGAAATTTAGTCCAATTCAGCTCTTTTGAATACTAAGGAAATATCACAATGAGCACTATCCAATCGGCCATTTTAGAAAACAAGATTCTAGTAAAAATTTAACAGGAGAAAGGAAACTAACAGAACTCCAAATTTGAACTCAAACTAGCAGTATAAGAATTGAAAAGTTAAGACTTTGGTATTCAATATTTTTTCAGCAAGACTTCCGCAAAATAATTATGATGGATGTATAAGTTGGCAGGTATTCATTTCAAAATTTTCACAACTATTGAAGAGGCACAAGAACAGTCTGGAGCAAGAATATATACTTATCACTGATTTTCAGATACTTTGAAAAAGTTGTTTAGAAACTCACCACAAATTCACATGCTTTTTGGAGAAACCAAATAAGCTTGGAATGCAAGGGCACAAATGAATAAATAAAATGATAACTGTAAATACAATTTTTACGAGATACCCTGTTCACTCAGCACTTGCAAAGTGTGCTGCACATGACACTGTAAATAATTGAATGAAATTCACGGTTAAGAGCAATAAGAATTATTGCCACACTAGGATTGAAATTTTACATGCAAAATATTTCTGACCTCCAATAAAAAAATTAGTTTTTCAAAGTTCAATCAATCTAACAAAGAATACCTACCAGTTTATTCTGCTACCTCCCTCCCCCCACACACACAAAATTAAAAACATGATTTAAAAATTAAAATTTAACAGGACTCAAACTAGATCTCTAGATTAACAAATACTCAATTTGCTGTATAAATTAAAAGAAGAAAAAAAAGAGTTCATTCTTGGGGTGAGGAAAGAGCAATGTAAAGCAACACATTACATTCTGCAGCAAAAATACAATGAAACATTACAACTAAGGCAAAAATGAGACTGTGGAACCGATCATAAACCTTTGGCTTTTAAACACAAATAACAAAAGAATATCTTCAATAGATTCAATAAATAACCCCAACAATTTAAATAAGAAATGTATTCTACATTCATTTACAATCCACTATAACAACACATCAATATAAATACTTGTATGAATAAATGTTACGAAATTTTAAAAAAACAAACAAATAATTCAGTGTAAAATTTGGAGCCATAACCTTCAAGATACATGCTTAACTATACAGAATACCAAATTTACAGAAATTAGAGCTACTGAATAACAAAAAAAAAAAATTTCTACACAAATATATGGCAATCTCATGACACCTTTCATACTAAATCGCATTTTCATAATAAATGTTTTCAATCGTACTTAATACCACATCTGTGAAAATACATATCTATTTTCAAAATTACAGTGGATGAAAAATAATAATGAATTTACTCGCAGGTGTCATTCACTTCAGGGAAAATTAGATAACTTATTCTTCTTAAATTGAAAACAATATTCAGTAAAAGTAAACTGGTCATAAAAAGATTAAAAGATGTTTACTTTCAGGAAAATTGGAATATTTCTGAAAACAAAAAGGAATAGAATTCGATAGCTTTCTTATAAAATCTTTGACTGGAATGAATAACATTTTTGTTAATTTCACATTCCAAGTGAATTGGGCAAAAGAGCACATTAATACCCGATTGCAAACCATTTGAATTTGCACTTTTTTTTTTATTAAAGATCAGTTAATACTGTCTGAGGTTTAGTTCAAGTACTATATGATGATTATTAGATGAGAATCTTTTTTCGATTCCGATGTTAACACACACTTCAAACAAAAATTGATTTCAATAGTCGCATTATTGAAATTTTTGTCGCAGCTTGTATCGCACCAATTACCTAAAATCTAAGGGAAATATCATAATACAGAATTGTTAATATAAGAACATACCGCAACATGCTCTGGTCACTAACCACCACTAACCTTTCGCATACTACAAAGAATCGTCTCAAACATGCATCACCCACCAATATACTCTTAAGTGAACAGTATGCATCACACATTTCTCAGAAACGCCAGGCATGTACCCAATTGAGCATGAATAGATGAAAGGTATCTTCTTGTCAATTGTAAGTATTAACTTACCAACGGGAAACACGTTTATTCCAACTCGACCGGATGACAGTTCCTTTGCGCGCGCACAAAAATTAATTCGGCCCACTCACGCGCTAAATAATCTCACTATTTCTTTACAGCCCGCATTCCGGCGGCCTATGGCTCGGCTCGCCTTGGGTGGTGCTCGCTGGTGCTGGCTGGCTCTGGCTTGTCATAGATTCCCCCATGCATCGCGTTGACCGGCAAGATCGATGCAGGCGCGCTATCTCTGTGAAACACGACGCACTACGAGGGAAGCAGCAGTTCTGGCAGAGGCTCGTTCCCACGTTGCTTTTTTTTCTCATGCATTATTTTTAGCAGTTGCAAAGTCCTTGCGAGTGCCTTTGATATCCTTTTCCTGCCCTGACAAAATTTGGAATAATTCTTCAGGGAATTTTCCTGTAACATTTACTTATATTTTTAATGCCTCACAAATTCTGGAGAAGTGCAATCCATAAATGCTATCTTTACTGTATTCAAATGTTTTAAGAGAAAAAAACTCTGGAAACACTCTACTGACAAAAAATCATGTTGAAATCGATCCACCCTCATGGCTTTTTAATTCTAATCTTCCCCTACATAAATACTTTACCTCAAGTTTAAAATGAAATAGCTACATGTTATATGTAGATATTCAACATCTTTCTATCCAATCTTTGATTAGAGAAAGTATTGTAATGCTACAGGAAAAAATGTATTTTTTCGACAAAAAATACTTTTTTGTGGTCTTTGATGAAAGTGAATTTGTGATAAAACTGAACTACAGAAAGTGCGCCGAAAATAGGTTCAACACCACTTTCTTTAGCATACTTGGCTACATACGTGAAAAATATTTAAAGAAAACAATTTGTGTGGTTTCTGAGAAAATAATTGTTTAAAATCTAAAAATCGTCTATGTTGGACGTAAAATTGACATGACCTTACTTGAAGATCTGTTTTGGATGAACAAAATATTTTGTAGTTGCCGCCGAAAATGTTTGACCGAGAGATAATTGAATTTGAATGTGAATTAATGTCTTATTTTAAGTGGCGAGACTCGGGCCATCAGGCCCGCTCTTCCGTCTGACCACACAAATTTTGCAACGCTCCTTCCACCAACTAGCAGAGGAAGGAGGCATTTCTTGGGCGAGAAACAGGCGATTTTGAATTTAGCTCAGAGGCGTCATTTAGGCTTGAGGATCTTTTACATGCAAGTAAATCTACTAACATGGGACAGCCGGCTTTACTTCCCCTCCGAACGAAGGCGTACGAAGGACTTTTTCGCCCTTAAAAATCCACAGCTTCGATTGGGTGCCCGCCAACTTGGGTACAACAGTCCGGTACGCTAACCGTTACACTAACGCCGCCGCCAAGAGATGGCTCAGCGCATCAACTGATGTCACTGCAGTCCTGGGAGGTCCTCGGTTCAAGTCTCGACGGTGGCAGAATACCTGGTTGGGGAAAACATCGTTAGTTAACGGTAGGTCGGCGTCGGAACTCGCCATATAGAGATGGAAAGATCACCGCCACCTCCCGGCAAATAAATGAAGTCGGGTCACTTTATAGTAATCGAGGACCCACAAAACATGGATAATGTCTACACAATTTTCTATACGCTACATTAAATAGCATACACTTCCCACTTAAAGTCGTGGTAACTGGGTAATTCCTAGGCATTTTAGAATCCAATGGGTTCCCTAGTATTCCCCACAGGAATATGAAGTTTCTTTCCTGCATTTTCTACCAGCAATGCTAAATTGCTCCATCGTAATATACAAATTGTGAGTAAAGTTTAATAGAACTTCCGAGAGCAATTAACGAGATAGTCAGTAGATCGCCTCGAGACGTGATCCCCAGGTCTTGAGGGCACTGATTGTAAATCTTGGCATAGCCCCAGAGGTTCCAACCATCACTGCCAGGATTCTGGCGTTGGGTACTCCATGAACTTGGGCTGCCAGAGGGACGACTGGTTGGTATTTTACCACATTTTCCTCCCCTGCTTTCAGAAGGCTAGACCCATCCAACTGGACTCTTGTACCCAAGTTGGCGGGTTCAAACCCGATCAAAGCCGTCAATTTTTAAGGGCGAAACAATCCTTCGTACGCCTTCCTTCGGAGGGGAAGTAAAGCCGGCTGCCACATGTTCGTAGATTTACTTGCATGTAAAAGATCCTCAAGCCTAAATGACGCCTCTGAGCTAAATTCAAATCGCCTGTTTCTCGCCCAAGAAATACCTCCTTTCTCTCCTAAGTTGGTGAAAGGAGCGTAGCAAAATTTGTGTGATCAGAGGGAAGAGCGGGCCTGATGACCCGAGTCTCGCCACGTAAAATAAGGCAAATTCTATTCAATTCAATTCAATCCTCGTGGCGGACAGTCACATCGACCAAATGGACCCCATCTATGAAATTTTTGATCTCGACATGTCGCTTTATTCTTGTTGGCTTCATAAAAATGCACTGACGGAGTATGTGATTCATGGTTTCTACCGCTCTATTGCACTTTCTGCAGAAAACATCCTCTCTGGGCCTTCCTCTACTAAGAGTAGTTTTATTGGCATCGGTATTTAATCTCAATTGGAGTTCAGTGACAAAAAGACCAGGTTTCTGAAGATGATAATCTTTCAAAAGGGCATCGTTTTTATGCGACCTAACCGCTCTCCCTTGGGATCCCAGCTTCTCCCAGGCGGCTACCTCGTCATCGGCGCATTTCTTCTTATAAGCCCTTAGATCTTGTTCAGAATAGGGCCAGTTGAGTCTCAATGATTTTGCAGTCTTAAGTGTCCGTTGGTAAAAACTCGGACAGGAGCTCAACCATCTGCGAATAGGATCTGCAAATTTTTCTAATCGTAATCCTAGGCTCAGCAACTCTGGGAACGTGTTGGGCGAGCCGCAGCAATCCCAGTACTCCATCTCTCTTGACCAGATAGAATAAGCCATCTGCAGTACTCATATGCAGATGTAGGAATTGTTAGACTGCCACTCTGATTTGACCGTCCGCTTCCCTGAGCAACGACATTGATGGCATGGATAGAACCAATTGATAAAGGTAATGTGGCATTATGTTGGTATGAAGTAATGCCAACTTCTGAGTGGGCTTTAAATGCGCCTTTTGAAGCCTCGACACTGCTTCCATTAAATTCGATACAGATGCTTTAGAAGGGAAGCCGTTAGATAGAGTAGTTCACCCAGGTATGTAAGAGTATGATCATTGCTGAAAAAGGAAATTCTCTCCCCCAATCTTTTCAGACAGTGGTCCTCAATGAACCAGGATCATTCAAAAGTTGTAATTTGAAATGATGAACATTTCGCGACGGACAATGTCATTCCGAGGGCCCCAAGATATTCCACCACAATATCAACCAATTCTTGAGCTCCCGGGGCATCTTTTGCTAACAGCACCAGATCGTCAGCAAATGCTAATAAGGACACACTCCTTCCCAATAGCGTGTATCCTGACATATTTTCCAATTTCTCAAGCAGGCACTCCATGATGAGATCAAAAAGAAGTGGGGACAAGGGATCCCCTTGTTTTACTCCTCTACGAATTGGCACCTCAATTCCTTTAGAGGGGTACTAAATGAAGGTGGAAACATCGGCGTAAGAGTCCATTACCAAATTGGTAAAGGCGTCAAAGATCCCTTTCCTGGACAGAGCCCACCGAATCGCCGCGTGATTAGGCGATAGTGACTACCCTATTATCCTTACCCTCTTTTGGTATAAGAATTGTGCTATTAGTTTTCCACCCTTGACATAGGTATCATTCAATTGGTCCTGGGATACAATATTTCCTTTGAGTTCATTTCCCACCTCAATGAGCTCTTGTTCTACATTAGTTTTAGAAGTGCCCCAGGTTCCTATCCAAGTTGAAATATTCACCAAGATCTGAGAGATGTTTGAGGAAGATTTGCCATGAAAACCGGTTTGCTACTTGTAAACACATTAAATTTAAATTGGAAAGTAGTGAAATCTGTGTATCTGAAAGGACAGTAAGGCGTACACTATTACAAAAGAATTTTAAAGCTTGTAGACCAGCCCACAAACCCAGATTAACAGCTGGTATGAAAGAAAAACGTCTTGCACGGGCTAAGAACCTTAAGAATAATGATTTGAACATTTGGAAATCGGTAAAAATTTAGTCTAGTGTTTTTTATAATTATAAATGGCTGCCAAAATTAATTCTAATGTCATTTACTTGTATTTCAGGTTTGTTTTAGCGACGAATGCACTTTTGAAATTCTAGGAAACAAACATCAATTTGTGAGAAGGCGCCCTGGTGAAAAGTATCATTCAGATTGTGTAACCCAGACTGTGAAACATCCAGTCAAGTCAATGATTTAGTCAGTGACCAGTGGCAAAGGCACGGGGCGTCTGTACTTGGTTAAGGGCATCATGAAACATGACCAGTATTAAACAGGCAAGTATTAGAAAAACGACTGCTGCCTCAACTACAGGAATGCTTCACAAATGAAGAATCATTTGTTTTTATGCAAAATGGGGCTCCAAGTCATACTGCTCGAACAGTTCGATCATTTTTGTGGGAGAAAAATGTTGTTCTTGTGTTACCATGGCCAGGAAATTCACCAGATATGAACCCAATAGAACGTTTGGGAGCTCATAAAGAGGGTAATCGCAAAGGAAGAAATAACAACAAAAATTCACCTCCTTGAGAAAATAATTCAAGTCTGGTACCATCATCCAAAGTTGCAAGAAACAGTCCAGGCATGCATTAATAGCATGCCAAAAAGAATTAAAGCTCTAATAGCCGCCAAAGGTGGCCTGACAAAGTATTTAAGATATACATGTGCATGGAGATTTTTTATGAAAATGAGTTTATATATTATCCTGACAGTCATAATTTTGCATATATCTTGTGTGTATCGTAAGTATTCAGCTATTACTTATGTATTTCGTTAGAAATTTAAAAAAAAACAACATTTTTCGTCACAAAAACGTGATTCTTATTGAAAATTTAGGGTGCGTCTAATAAACTGGCCAGGGACTGTAAATCATTATTTGTAAATAGTTGAAAGGGGAGTATTGGATAGTTGCTCTAGAAAAACAATGTTTACTAATAAATTTAGTCTTTCGCATGACTTTTTATTTTCACAAGTTGGCGATACTTAATATAGGTTAGGTTGACTTCGGCGCCCGTTCCTTTCTTTCTTTTTTTCTTTTTGCGTTGAATATTAGTTCACATTGTTTACATTGAAAGTGGATTATCGTCTAACACTTGCGCTTGCTTGGGGTGTATTTAGCTTTATTAGTTTAATAAGAATGTTGATTTATGGAACCAAAGGTATATGATAATTAATATATTAGGGTATTAACTATAATAATTTTATTTGTAAATTGGTTTTTGTTGTTTTATTTTCAGTATCAATTACCAGCTGTCATCTATTGCGGCCAGTACATTTTTTCAAAAGTTTCTCAATTTTTCCGTTTTTTAATAGGAGAACCGATATGTTACTTTAAGAATATTATAGAAGAGTTAAACCTCGTCTCATATGGCGTATAACGTTACTGTAAGTGCGCTATTTGAAGCTCCTTTCAATGCACAGAAATCTTTTGAGTTTTCGAAAAACGTTATTGGAAGTAATTTGAAGCACTTTCACTCGAATGCAATAATGTATACAAATCACTGGAAATCTCAAGGTGTAGGGAGTAGGGGATCCCTCCACCCCCCCCCCAAAAAAAACAAAGCTCCGAGCGTGGGAAGGTGTTCGAGCATAGATTCTATTCGCCCCTCTCCCTACCCTACGTTGAAAATCGTAACCCCTCGGCCAGAGTCACAATGCTCAAGGCCATGCGAGGAGATCAGAAAATCACAGTACTCTACGCTGTGACGCACTGTGCTTCGAGTCAGCAAGCAGTCCGATTGCAGCCATTAGGCAGTGAGATGGTGCATATCTTTAGGAGTTTCACAACCAGTTTAAAATGGAAAAACCATAGAACTTTAACATTTGATGAAAAGGCCAAACTGGAAGCAAAATAGACTCAGAAGCTATCAATGAAGAATGTTTAATATTCAATTATTGGTGATTTCTTTGATAAATACGCTATATGTAAATCTATTTTAATAATCATAATAAAATCATGTAATTTTTACTTTTCTTTAATTACTTTACTTATTTGTATTAATTTACTAGTTACAGAACAGAAACACCAATATCACAAGTGTAAATTGCACAACTCATCATAGAAAGGAGATCTCCCTAAGCCGCAATTAGTTTTGTCGCGATCGATTCCGGCTTAGACAGATTTTACTGTAGTAGAAATAAGCCAAAAAAATTTCAAGCTTTTTAAATTTTCGACAATTTAGAGTTAACAGTAAAAAACTGAACTAAGCCATCTTTGTAAATGTATTTCACCCTAATGTTCCCAAAAATTTGGAGCCATTTTTGAGAAAATTCCCCTGGGGCTTTACGTAAAGTACCCCCAATTTTAAAGAATGTTCTTCAAAATTGCAAAGCTTCGAGTCGAGCCAGATCGACCGGGGATTATCCATTTTGGAAAGAATCCTACGTATGGTTCAGGCGCTAGTGGTGTTCACAGACGAACGGACGTTTTGGAAAAAAAAAAAAAAAAAAAAAAAAAAAAAAAAAAAAAAAAAAAAAAAAAGTTATCAGAAAACCCCAAAATATGTGTATCCGTTGAAATCGATTTTCCGCAGCACAACGTAACTTTCTCTATATTAGGTATATTACTCCGTTTATACGTACGTATAGAAAGTAAAAACCCTAATTTGTGGTAACGTAACAAGGGCGTCTAAACGCCTCTCATTGAGACGAGATGTATCCATCTTTTCGTTACCCGGGCCCGGCTTCAAGGGTTTTTGTGTCGAAAATTTGCCGGTTTCCCCGTCAGCACAAAATTACTTTCTCTACTTCTCTTCTGAACACTGCATAAGCAGTTGGGAGAAAGTCAAGAATTCACCCTCACATTCAAAATGCCCATTTTAAGATTGACTTGCTCCAGTAGTAGATGCGTGAACGGGGGCTGGTAAAGGGGGATAGACAAGCATTCTCATAAAATAATTGATTTTCTGTAATATAAAGACAAGCAATGAAGAGTATTTATCAGATAGCTTTTTGTGGACGACACAGCATAGCCAGATAAATCATTGGCAATTTTTTAGAAAAGTGAGTAGTGCCATTGAACAATATCTATTTATCCTGATTCAGGTGTTTGTTTCCCAGACCATTCATTCATTTACAGAATAATGTTATGTTTTTGAATCAAGTTAAAATTGTAAATAAATGTACAATCTGGCTCATCGAATGCAATTTTGGAGGATGGGAAGTGGTCTAATTGTGAGTGATGGACGGAGATTATCATTATAACGATTATACCCTGAATAAAAGTATTGCCTTCTATCTACTAAATATCTTCTGACGCCCGTGATAATGTCATTAGCCAGCACGTTTACATAACCCCCTAAAAATAAAACTTTTATAAATTTACTATTTTGCCAGAGATTTTAAGTTAATTATGAAACTGAAAAGAAATTTCTTAGCCTAGTAGACACATTTATTTAATCGCAATTTAATAATAATCTGTGACCACTTGTATAGAATCACCGACTTCACCACACAAATGGGATTCCATCCATTTTGATTTTACCAGATTAGCATGATGCCAACAACCTTATAAATGTACATGATCATGTATTGTATATGTGGAAGAATTTTAATTAAAAAAAAAAAATTCAAATTGTCCTTATGAAGACCTAATAAAAGACAAAACATTAGGAATTTAAATAATTTTGTTTTAACTGATCTATATTTGTGAATCTTTTCTTGCAATTAAACAAAGTAAAGAACGATAACATGCACTGACACATTACTTTGGTTTGTACCTCCCTATTTGTGGTAATTTATGCAAGTGTCACAATATGAGGACGAGCTTTAGGGAAATAATAACATACTTGTATTTGTTTTCTGATAATTATTAAGGATTTATTTCCATTAAAGAGCATGAATTGAGGAATCAGATTGAAACAAATGAAAACATGGAATTAATAATTTTGAGATGCCATAAAGTTGTTATTTATGTTTACAAAACATACACAAAATTCTAAATTCAAGACGGAAGTCAAATGGCAAGAATTATTATTTTAATTAAAACTGCTTAAAACAAGCTGTGCTTCGAATTTCTTCAGTAAATCAACGTAAATGTACAGAACCTATCCTTTACTGCTAAGACGAAAGTAAAAATGTTTTATTTGCAGTTTCTATTCTCTGGAAAATAAAATTTTAACATTTCCTAATTTTGGACCTTGCTGAGAAGGCAATTTGAAGTGGAAGACCATGCCCAAAAGTGGGTTTTAAAATCGCTATTAATTCATTCAAGATACAACTGCAATACATACTTTTCCTTTCTAAATTTAACCTTTGGATGGCTTTTCATTGCACACCAGTTCACTATCAAAACATCTTTGACAAACGTCTTGAAATGTCTGAGCAATTGGTTCAAGATAGAAACATTTTCATTCAAAGTTTAAAAGTTTTGGTCTCAACCTATAATCTTTTCAAGTTTCCCACAGCTTTCATTCACATACACTTCATCCCCTGCCCCTCCCAAGTGAAACTAACATGTTCACTTCATCCATACAACTCGCATAAAAGGAAAGGAGAAAAAAAAAAAAAAAAAAATACTCCATCCTATCTGTACAACCGTTTACTATTTTGCTTCATACAATCTTTATTTTCCAGATTGACTTCTATATTCACTTACTATCCACGACCAGGGGCACACCATAGGACTTTCATATCTGTATAACCTTCACAATTGTCATGTATATATATATTCCACACAAATACTGTGATTTTTCTTTACCCATGGCAATAAACCCTGTAACTATCACAGTATTATCAACATTATTAACAATGCTCAATGTTTCTCTACAATTACACACCTGACTTCAACAATATATAATACATACATATCTGCAAGTTGCTGCTAGTTATCTCCCTCCCACACATAAGGAAATGTACACCACAAATGATAGAAAATAAGATGCTTGTAATCATTTGCAATAAATTTCAAAAATGTAAGTTCCTTGTCCCTCTTTAAATAAAAATTAATAACTTATTGTCAGGAGACACAGATCCCCACACAATACAGTAAAATCCCACTATTTTTCCGATTCTGAAACATAAGCCTATGAATGCGTTGTTCACATCAACTCCACCTGCAATACTATTTATCACATACTCAAACTTGGTGACAATAATTGAACAGCACATATACAGAATGCTGTCAACACCAATTTATGAAGTGAGAACATTTAAATATAACATCGTTCTACCTGCATGACATGAAAACATGATATGCAATTCTGACATTAATATACACAAATGTGATACCAATTGCTACATTACAATAGCACATTAAGTTAAATCACAACAATAAGAATGAAACTGCAGTATGTTTACTAAATTGTAATCAAAACTATCAGGAAAATCATCCAATTCCTTCACAAGAGAGAGAGGAGATACATTTGATTATAAAAGACTTTGCACAAATCAAATAGTAATACCTTGAAAGTAATTGAAACACAATTGTAATGTTCAATCAGTAAGGGGAAATAAATAAATAAAAAAAATACAATCTAGCATTAACATTTCATCCTTTGAACCTATGAAAGCACAAACATTAAATGTATTTTCATTTCACATACTGCAGTTTCACAAAGACTTTGAAACACACTGTTTGGGATGTTGGGACATAGGAACCAAACAAATACTTGAACAAATTCTTAATGCCATGTAAAATGGGGAGAAGCTGATCATGTGTCAGAATATGCAAGAAATTGTACTGGTCCATCTGAACAGTACAGCCATTAAATCAAGTGTGAGTAATCAATGCTCAACAAACCACACTATCCAAATTAATAAAAGATGGTAACTATCTACCCATAGGACAATTCAAATATACAGAAGTGTAAGATAAGGGAAACACATGAAATCAGCACCTCTTATGGCAGTTAATGACACAATTGGATGTAGTTATGCAGGAACAACACACAATTGTGGAAGTAATACAATCATGTTTACATCTTTTGAGGTCATGTTTTACAATATTTACTTAAAAGAATCTTTCTTCCAGTAATATCATTGGACAACATAAGCTTAATTGATTAGCAGTGGAACATCAATTCACAGTTTACTACACTTACATTTAAGAGCTATCAAGATATATTATATCTTGTGAAACACAGAACATATTGAAAATAAAAAGACAAGAAAAGAAAAAAACAAAAAAGGAAAGGCAAAAAAGAGTAAACTTAGAACAGAAATTTCACTGTACATAAATAAACAGATATTGATTTAACAAGTGCAATGTGTGTTTTGTGTTATCAAAAGAAGTGGTAAAACCTCTTATATTTTGCATTATTTTACAATGTGCATAATACTGTAATGGTTAAAAACTCCTTTTTCATAAATACATCCAATTACCAGTAAATGGTGACCCGTCTTTCAGTGTGCTTTTGTCACGTTTCCTCTAGAACACTTTAATTGCAACTTCTCACCATACATAAACAAACACTCTGTAATACACAGGTTGACATAAAATGAGCAATGGATTGGCTAAATTCACAGAAGTGAGTGCACTGTATCCTAATTCAATAAATTAAGAATTACTAGCATAGGAAAAAAAATTGCTCCTATAACGATATGCCGATGTCAAACTTTGCGTTTGCGTAGCTTGGCTTGAGCTTCACGCAGCAGTAAATCAAAATCTTCAGCTGGGGGTTCTGTTCTTCTACTGTATCCACTGCTTCGCATGTATCCACTTGAAGGCATAGACCCATCGGAAGTGGCTAAACCATCTGCAACATATCGATAAAAGTTAATAGTAAAAAAATTAAGGGATAAATCAATTCCATAAACAACAGTACAGATAAGGAAAAAATTGGGCATTTGCACATTACACTTTAAATATTTTCATTTTTTGAGTCTGAAAATATGGATTTCAGTACAATTTTCATACCAAACATCCTGCTTACCAATTCATCACCAACACTGAAAAAAGAAAATAAAATCTCTCAAGAATATGGTTACTGAGCGCTATTCAATGAGGAATATTTTATCCCTTTGTGAAAATCTACACAAGTACCCAGGATCATTTAATAGATGCTTTGTTGGATTGTCTAGTCAACAACTAACATCCATCAATCACTTTGCTTTGATTGAATGTCACTGCTAATGATTCTAACGATTAATAGTTTACAGTCATGATGCTGGATCAAAATTCAAAAAACCACACTGCAGTGCAGATTGCATATCTAGCATAGATTCTGGGGTACATCAAGTAAAACATTAGCAAAGCTATATAGAGACTCTCAAAATATATTTCCGTAAGGAATTCAGATACTTATAACAGACTATTTAATCACAAGTTATATTTAATTTTTTCTTCCACCCACTTAATTCAACATGATACCAAAAATTAAATCATTGTGTTTTTGTTTAAGATTTCCAAAGCATGAGTGGTATTTAACAAATAATACAAGTGATAATAAAAATAATCGCTTATTAACAATAATATTTGCTGGTAAGGTTGATACCTTGTAATAATTGGCGAAAAAGATATTGTCAAGTATCAATATTTTTAATACCCAAGATGTTTTCGATCACATAGCTACCATCAACAAAGCTAATCTGAAAATATGACAGGAATTAATAACTATGCAAAAATACAATAGATTGAGCCAAGTTACTTTCAAAGGTATAGTGGAATGTTCCCATACGCCAATTGAGAGGAAACCAGTACACCTCAATACCAACTGCTTGCACAAACCATTTGTATAACGCCCCAATGAGGAGAATGTGCAAAAATGCAAATAAAGTTATGGTAAAAAACAAAATCCTGTTTACCTCAGATCAAAATATTATAAAACTGCTTAAAAATTATCTGCTAACCGACATTAAGTGATTCAAGATCGAGTCTCTTCATTGTATGATATTTATTGTCTTTTTATCTTTTTGTACCACTGTAACTTCTGCACTAGCATGTATTAATTGAAGAATTGCCTGTGAAATAAACGTTATCATCATTATTGTTATTATTAGTAAGTCGAATAAATGAAACGGCCGGCTAAGTACTTAACGCATATTTTGTACAGAAGTATAAATTTTAAATTTAATAATCTTTAACTTGTTTTCTTTCTTTTTTTGTTGCAGTATTGTATTTTATAATTCCTGTACATACTTTCAGATTAGCTGTGATGATTGCTATCCGGTTAATAGAATAAAAAATATCGATACCAGACATCTTTTTTTCAAATCAATAATCACTTATATTATTTCTATAGTATGGATATATTTTGCAGCTCTCACTTCCAACCAGTCTGAACAAATGAGGTATGAATGGAAAGAATTTCATGGAGAGATGACAAATTGCTCTCTCGTGTAGAAATAAGAAGCTCTTGAATGCCTTTAAATTCGCGGTGCACCACACAGCCTTCTTAACATGTTCTTTGATATCGACCATGCATACCTGTATCACATTACATTATCTTCAAACCAGGCCGATGAACTGAAGTAAAATTTTCTAACGCTATAATCTACAAATCAATCTCTTTTGGGACCTTCTATTATATTACTGAGTGTTCAACTTTTTTGGGTAACTCCCAATCCCTGGAGTGTGCAGCATCACAAATTGCTTTATTTTTCTTTTCATACAGAGGAGGGGGATAAGGGGAGGGATATGCTTTATGCATGCAAATTCTTGCAAAGGTATGCTAGTAATAAACAAAAAGGTTAATGCATCTCTGTGCTTTTGCAGAGAGGCCTAGTTTGGCCCACAGAGGAGAATGACATTAACGATGTTTTGTTGCCTCAGATTGCACAATGTTGCTTCATGCTGTAGCTCCTCAACATTTACTATTATATGATTCCAGTAAATTTCTAGTACCCATTTGAAGGAAGATAGAGTGAACTTCAGTATCAACCAGATTAGGAACGTATCAGATAAATACGAGAAAGTTGCTGGTATTTGAAACCAAGCCCACCAGTTTGGATTCTGAACATCCCAACCCTTGTGCTGCCTCAATTCACAAAAATAATTCAGTAATATATCAGTAGGAAGAAATTGTGGGGCTGTCAGAAATAATAAGTTTGTTAAAGTGAAATTTCATTACAATGAACATTACTCAATTTTTAAAAACACCGGTATCACCAGCGTTGAAGGATTTACTTCCTCATAAATGTATGAATTAGAAAACTTATTAAATTACAAGAGAGTTATCTGAAATAATGATATATAATAATTGCACAAGACATATTGTAACTTTTACATTGTGCCCACACACATTCTTGAGTATTTTGTAAGGTGAAGCACAAATCCAAGAACTCATTAGTACATGTCCTGGGAAAAAAATCAATACTGTAAAATGAAGATAAAAGATAAAATCACATGCATAATTTGTTCCCGACTGGTAGCCATGGGGAATTCTTAATTGTTTTTAGTTCACATTTCATGTGTATACTAACTGATTATTGTTTGGTCACCTTTTCACATAATAAAAATACGGTTTGTTAAAATCCTCAGATGAAATACAAGAATTGAAGTTAAACAAGGAAGCAAATCTCACCCAAATCAGCATAACGAGTTTTACAGAATGCTCGTCGGCCACCAAAGCAAAGATCATAGCGAGGTAAGTTAGGATCATCGTTGCCATGCTCCACTGCCTCATAGGCATCCACTTTGTAGGCAAATGTCACGAAGCCATAATTGTCCCTGCAATAATACAACACAATATTCTGAAAGATCTTCATATGTACGTCACTAGTCAACAAAAGGTTTCATTCCAACGAACCCAAAGAAACTCCGAAATTTTACTTACAACACACAATGTACCCCATAAACACATTATCAACACCAAATTGCATAATAACTTATTTTCTTTTGAATTATATTGTATAATCATTTATAATAAATGATACAAAATAATACTTTTCACACACATTTCTTGTTGTACCCGATACATTAGCGTTTACACTTTCACAATGCTTCAAATGACATTTGCGTGCTTCTTCGGATGTCAATTAATGAAACAATGTGGAAGTGCAATAAATGTGTACGGAAAGAATTGTTTCCGACTGTCTACAATAAACGAGGATACCATATAATACAATGTATTGAAGACTATTATTCTGGTTAGTGACATAACCATCTCTACTTCAAATTCATTATTATTATTATAAATAATAATAATATAATTTCTTTAACAAGACTTTAAATTATTTCCTTTTACTACAATAACTTACATTTCTTACCATGTAATATAACTTTGAATAAAACAGAGTGAAATGTAGTTTAATAATGATTTGATTTTGATAGAGTCCATGCAATGAAAAATTGAAAATTATTTTTGATCTGAAAAATACACACCCATGCTCACGGAAATGAACACTTATGTCAATTATAGGACCAAATGGTTCAAAACGACGACGCAATTCAGCTTTGGAAGTCCCTTCATCAATGCGGCCAACATAGATAACTCTTCGCTCTTCTACTTGTCGCTGCTTCTCCCGCTCAGACAACATCCAATCATTCTTCCTATTTGTGAAGGGAGGAGAACGTGATCTACTGAAACATAACCAATCATCTCTAAGTTGAGACTTTTTATGGTGTACATTGATACAAAGCTTGTATCCTCATAACACATCTAAAATTTTGATTTCAGCATTATGTTTATATGGGTATTTTGTTATAAAAAGCCAATTCATATACACACAGCATATATACAATTTACTTTACATATTTACATATGTCATTTCAGATTCTAAATAAACTACAACAGTACTACGAAACATGGAAGTGTGTTAAAATCTAGTGAGGCCACATCACACATCACTGACAGCGTCTACTCAATCAAATGAAGAAATATTATTTTATCTAATTCTATTTATACTTGCAATTCCCATTATAACTGATTTTTTTAAATCGGAAAGGTCTCAATTCATTGAGGGCAGGAGTATTTTTGTTAAAAATACACTATTGGAGCAACTGCAATTCTATAAAGAGCACATTCCTTTCTCAAAATGAAAATATAAAAAGAATCAAGCAATACTTTCCTACATGCAAACCCAGTGGTCTAAAACGTGACTTCACTTAGTGGGTAATCAAAAGGGCTAAAAATGAAAAATTTTCAATGAGCTTCAAACTGGCAGTACCTTTACATTGAAGTTTGGTGGGCTGGTACACTGCATTGCAGAGTGTGTGTAAGTTCAAAGTAGCAAAGTCGAGCAAAAATGAAAAAGAGCAAAGTTTTCAAAATATCTGAGCCAGGCAATGGAAATGTTGAACTAAATACTTCTGTGCTAGATCGAAGTACTTTCCACATTTAAGAAATGTAATATATTTAACTTTTTCCATTGAAAGATGTTTTGTATGAAATAAATAACAATGCACTTCATTTCATTTCACAAATGCCCTTTGCCATGATGGGTTGTCAAACCATGATTGTTTAAGAAAATGTACATAAATAAATAAAATAAAATAAAATTTAAGGGAGTTAAAGAACCACGAAACCATTGTGAATTGGTCAACTACAACATAAGATGTTGCTGAGTAACTGATGCCAAATGTAACGGAAAAAAAGAAGAGAGGGAAGCCCATTACTACTAGATTGTACACAAGCTAATCATTTTTCCTTTCTAAAATAAAGGTTTCCATTATGAGGGGAATGTTACAGAGAATTCCAATAATCGGCACATGCATACATAAAACCACTGAAAAGAAGTATTAAAGGTTTAAGAATGGATATTCAAAACACATCACAGGCACAATGGATTTTCTTCACAACTCTTACTGGAGAACTTT